TGATAAACACTTATAGGCAGTGGAATTTGTAACTTGATAGTGTTAGAACTATGTCTTCTTTTTGTTCTTTTTTTTTGGAGGGGTGGGGTAGAGAAGTATGTCAATAAAATGTCCTTGTTTATAAAACTTTATTCTTTTAAAAATTAAAAGTAAGCTCAAAGTATGCCCAGAAAAAGAGGTTCCCCCTCACTCTGTTCCTGTCCCACTTTCTGTTCCCTGTTGGGGGTGGTGGCTGTCAGTAGCTGACAGTCAGCAGCTGAGAATAGGATTCAGCCAATCCCCATTCTCATAGGAGTGTGTGTGACAGACCAAGAAATAATGTGATTCAAGCCACATTCCTTTCAGAGATCCTCCAGGCAAATTTTCTACAGAAATAATTACACTTTCCAGGAATGTCTTAGGGGAGGAAACGAAACACCATGGAAATCCATGGATGTTTTGGCTGTGTTCCCTGCCCGCTCCCTGGATTCGTCACTGGTGGCAAGGCTGCCCTGCCTGTCCCAGGTCCTGGGCCCCTTCCCAACCCTAGGGAGGCTCTTGGGCCCTGAGCCCTTATGGGACACACAGTGTCAAGGATTCCAAGCCCCAGGAGACCCCAGAAGTCTCCCTTACCTGTGCGACTGAGGGGGTACCTGTTCCCATTGAAAGAATTTGAGGTGATTTAAGGGCAACTTCGCCAGCAACAGGTTTGGTTACCTGTTGTAAAGATAAAATGAAATCCCAGTTCATGATTGGTGGATTGGTGTGGACATGTGTCTGGAGGAAGCTATAAGGACCAGACTGGTCCCAGATATTTTCACAAGAATAGCTTCCCTAGCAGCGTTTTCTTCCGAGCATTTTTCTTCGAGAGAGAGAGTCAGTGCCATGGTTAATTCTGGGACAAGCCCATGTACACCAATGCATCAGTCCTCTAGGGAGGAGGCTCACACAGCCACGTGTTGACAGCTGTCACGGAGGAATAAAGCACGCCAAGGTGCCTGGTTGCATCTTAAATAAAGGAATACTTGATCAGACACTTGGAGGCATGGGGATACTTTTGAAAAGTTCTAACAAACTCAGCATGGCTTCTAAAGGTCTGAAGCATCAATCTCTTTATTAAAAACCAAACCAAAGAGTTCAGTCATGTTGACAGAGAATTTGAACTGCAGGATGAAGGGCTCCGTGAAACAGAGAGTGCAGGACGGTGGCTGCGTGAGGTGCAGGTGAAAAGTGCATGTCCTTGGAGCACTAGATGCAGACAGGCTCGCCAGCCACGCCTACAGGAAAGAGGCTGCTCCGGGGTTCGGTGGACTCTAGGACCCAAGGTAGTCGCATCATATTGGGTCCCCAGAATCACTTCTTCACGCTCAGCCTCACCCACATTAGCCACAGGAGAATGTGAGCCAGGGAGTGGACAGATGGTGTTCACCCCAACGGCAAAGGACAGAGAACACTCTTCACGAAGCAGGGCTGCTGGAAGACGGGCTTGCTGAGTGCGTTCTCCGAGAAGAGCCACCTAACCTTACAAGTGACAAGTTAGTGTAGTTCTGCCATTTTCTGCTGGAAATCTTTTCAAAAGCCATTTGACTGCCTCCCTTTAAACTCAGCACACATAACATATGTCAGTTTTGGGGGGTGGTTAAGGGCCACTATTCAAGATTAGTTGTCCTCAGAGACTATGTGAGGTCCCGCTCTTGCACTAATTGGGCCCCAAATGTGGCCCCTTGCTCGGCAGGGGCTTGGGTGGTCAGGAGTGGACCTTGATGGTGGTGAGTCTGCCGGGTCATAGGTACTGACCGGGGGTGCTCAGGTGCACTCTGCTCCAGCTCGCTTACTGGGCATCCCTGTTCTGCGGGGAACAATGCCAGCCTTGGTGGAGCGCTGGTGAGATCTCTGTGTCCACCTGGCCAGGCTGTAGTTCCCAACAAGTTAATGAAACTCCAATCCAGGTGTTGCTGTGGAAGTATTTTGTAGATGTGGCTGACACCTCTAATTAGTCGACTTGAAGTGAAGGACATTGCTTTTTATACTGAGTGGGCATCATCCAATCAGCTGAAGGTCTTAAGAGAAAAAACTGAGATTTCCGGCAGAAGGGGAAATTCGGCCTCAAGACTGTAGCATCAACTCCTGCCTGAGTTTCCAGCCGGCCAGCCTGCCCTAAAGATTTCATCCCCCACAGCTCCTTAAAATAAAGCTTTCTATATGTATCTCTAGCTCTAGCTTATCTGTAGCTTTATCCTTGTCTCCATCTCTGTCTCTTACTGGTTCTGTTTCTTTACAGAGCCCTGACTGACACAATGATCCCAATGGTTGGAGATTAGGATGGGGAGGAGTGTTTAGTTAGAGAAAAGCCTAGCCCTCTTCCCATTCCTATCACTGAAGAATCAAATAAGCCAGGTCCCCTTGTACCTTGAGGGAGGCTCTATGATCACCCAGTGCTTTCTCTGAAATACCCATGCTGTGTGTAGGTGGTGTGACTGTCAGCGATGACACCATTTTCATCAACCTTAAGCTTGTGTCTTGGAGATGGGGTGGTTGGCCCAAGTCGGCCTTTAAATAACTGAGGAGCTTTCTTTTACCATAGATGCCATTTTAACTCACCTCTATTCTCAAAAAAGGACCCCAGCTTCTCTTCAAATGATGGAGATGTGTATTGATTGTTATGCCTTAAGTTAAAATAAAATGTCTAAGGCAGTGGTTCTCAACCTTCTGGCCCTTTAAATACAGTTCCTCATGTTGTGACCCAACCATAAAATTATTTTTGTTGCTACTTCATAACTGTAACGTTGCTACTGTTATGAATCGTAATGTAAATATCTGATATGCAGGATGGTCTTAGGCGAGCCCTGTGAAAGGGTCGTTCGACCGCCAAAGGGGTCGCGACCCACAGGTTGAGAACCGCTGGTCTAAGGCAGCTCTCCCTGCTTTTTCTTTTTCAATTAACCTCTCAGCTATCAGAGCTGATCACACGTACTGGACTGATTCGATCAGATTTAAACAGTTTCATGCAATGAGTTGGCTCCTTAAACATTTTTTTTTGATAAAAGGTAAACTAAGTCAAATTATCCAAATAACCAGAAATTTCCAAATTTGTTTGACTTAGTGAAATATATTAGTAATTTCCCATTGATTTTCAGAGAGAGTGAAAAGGAGGGGACAAGCGGGAGGGAGAGAAAGAGAGGAGAGACACATCAATTGATTGCCTCCTGCACTTGCCCCATTGGCGGGGGGCAAGGATGGAACCTGCAACTTAGGTACATGCCCTTGACCGGGAATCAATCCTGCGACCCTTCGGTGTACAGGCCAGCACTCTAACCACTGAGTCACACCAGCCAGGGCCAGTTGTGCATAATTACTAGATTGGTGAATTAGAAGAAGTGGCTCTTAACCTATGTGAGAATTTAGCCCAAATTGAACATGCATGGAAAAGTCCAGTTTTGTGTAGCTGAAATTTCCGGGGTCCTATGCAGTGTTTGGAGATGAGATGGGAAGGATGTCTCATGTGATTTGGAACTCTTGGGTTAGGTTCATGATAAGAAGCCTTTCATTTGTAAAATATTATATATGTGAAATTATTAGAAAAGGAATTGCACTTGTGGTTCCAAATAATGAAGAATCTGTGTAACATTTTATCAGTGACTTTTAATAAAGTGTTTGTGGTTTGCTGATAAATATTAAGGTGTATTGTGAGAAACTGAAAACTCTTAAAAACAGCAGCTCTCTACTCTGCCACTGGCAAAGTACTAAGTCAAGTGTATGTGCCCTTCAGTGTTTGCTATGGTTAAGAGCCTCATCAGCTCAATTATTTACCACTCCCTACTAAATTATTTTTGTTGCTACTTCATAACTGTAACGTTGCTACTGTTATGAATGGTAATGTAAATATCTGATATGCAGGATGGTCTTAGGTGAGCCCTGTAAAAGGGTCGTTCGACCGCCAAAGGGGTCGCGACCCACAGGTTGAGAACCGCTGGTCTAAGGCAGCTCTCCCTGCTTTTTCGTTTTCAATTAACCTCTCAGCTATCAGAGCTGATCACACGTACTGGACTGATTCGATCAGATTTAAACAGTTTCATGCAATGAGTTGGCTCCTTAAACATTTTTTTTGATAAAAGGTAAACTAAGTCAAATTATCCAAATAACCAGAAATTTCCAAATTTGTTTGACTTAGTGAAATATATTAGTAATTTCCCATTGATTTTCAGAGAGAGTGAAAAGGAGGGGACAAGCGGGGGGGGGGGAAAGAGGGGAGAGACACATCAATTGATTGCCTCCTGCACTTGCCCCATTGGCGGGGGGCAAGGATGGAACCTGCAACTTAGGTACATGCCCTTGACCGGGAATCAATCCTGCGACCCTTCGGTGTACAGGCCAGCACGCTAACCACTGAGTCACACCAGCCAGGGCCAGTTGTGCATAATTACTAGATTGGTGAATTAGAAGAAGTGGCTCTTAACCTATGTGAGAATTTAGCCCAAATTGAACATGCATGGAAAAGTCCAGTTTTGCGTAACTGAAATTTCCGGGGTCCTATGCAGTGTTTGGAGATGAGATGGGAAGGATGTCTCATGTGATTTGGAACTCTTGGGTTAGGTTCATGATAAGAAGCCTTTCATTTGTAAAATATTATATATGTGAAATTATTAGAAAAGGAATTGCACTTGTGGTTCCAAATAATGAAGAATCTGTGTAACATTTTATCAGTGACTTTTAATAAAGTGTTTGTGATTTGCTGATAAATATTAAGGTGTATTGTGAGAAAATGAAAACTCTTAAAAATAGCAGCTCTCTACTCTGCCACTGGCAAAGTAGTAAGTCAAGTGCCCTTCAGTCTTTGCTATGGTTAAGAGCCTCATCAGCTCAATTGTTTACCTGCATTAAGAAATAGGAATAACATTCTAAGAATACACTAATATAGAGAGGTACAATAATTTGTGAATATATATAGACTTTTATTCTCTAAATATACATTTTATACTTTTATTGAAAAATTAATCTTGCTACTGTTCTGTCTCAAGTTTGAACTCTCAATGGATTATGGGAAGGTAATGTTTATTGATGTACTTGTTATTAAAATAAGTATGAAAAAATTTTGACTGACTTAAAAAGTAAATCTTTAAGCAACTGGTTATGTAATCTGAGTTTAGAAACCTTTTTTGATGAACTTTTGTGGAATATTGGGGCACCTTATAAATCTCATTTGAACTACAGCAAAAATGACAAAAGGAGCGTTGAAAGAAACCTTCACCTTTCAAATTGTATGTTATTTAAAAACTAAAATTCCCGTAAAGGCAGTAGTAGGCTACTTCCTTAGCTAACGGAGGAGAAGTTCCTTGAGCAATGTGGGGGTTGGGGTGCCAACCCCCATGTAGTCAAAAATTGGGTATAGCTTTTGACTCCCTAAATCCTTAATTACCAATAGCTGTTGAAGAGACTCAAAAAGAGCCTGGAGGTTTTGCTAGAAATAAATGACAAAGATGTATTCATGGGTCTTAGAGTCTGCAGACTGAACACAGCTAGCAAACCCCAGAAGTGTTCCAAAGGAGAGAGCCACGGTCAGAGTTGTTACAGGAGAGTCACGTTCTTGAGACCAACCCTGTGTCCTTGGCCTCTGGGTTGGTCTGAGGTCATGATCTTCTCCGTGACCCGGTGGTCTGGATGCTGAATGTCAAGGGGTCTGGATACGTGGACATTCTCGCCTTAGCCCTTCAGGGGGTAGCCAGAGATTTGATGTACAGTCTAACCTCCTTTCTTGAATGTCTCCCATCTCAAACAATTCGGTTCTCAACCAAGTTGTTCACAGGAAAAAAAGTATTGGTTGTTGACCAAAATTTCAGTTTTCAACCTGACAACCCTTCCATGCTGATAGCTCAGCATGACAAAAAGCGTCTTTCCTACAAACAAGGAGAGAATGCTTTTGTTGCTGGTGATTAGCACAATTTTAAAACATAAAGAGGCCATTAAGAGTGCGAATGTTGTTAAGGGTGTGAAAGTGCTCACAAAGCAGCCATCACAAAAACAAAACAAACAAAAAAACCAGCAATCACAGGCGATTGAATAGATAGAAAAACTGTTGTTGATTTGGATAAAGGAAAAGCAGTTAACTGGTGATAGCATTTAGGAGGTAGCGAGCGATATGTGAAAAATTTCTTTAAGGTTAGTAGGGAGTGGTTACATAAATTTAAGAAAAGAAGTGTTTGTTGATAAGTTAGACATGTACTGTATATAAGAAAGGTTAAAACAGAATTATTTGAGGGTCTGGAACAGATTAAGTCAATTTACATTATTTCTAATGGGAAAAAAATGATTCTGTTTTTGAACAAATCGCTTCTCAAACAGCCTTCTGGAAGGGATTAAGTTCAAGAAACGAGGTTCCACTGTATATCTAGATATTGATACTGGGCTTGATAGTTCAAACGTTTAAGTTCCCAGGCTACTTACAGCAAAAAATAGCATCACTTTCTCATACCTCAACCTACTTGATTTCACAGCTTGACTATATATACCTTCACTCTATTCCCCATAGCCCACTGTTGGCTTTACTGATAACATAAGCAATTGAGTAACACATGTTCTGTATGTTATATGTATTGTGTACTGTGTTCTTACAATAAAGGAAGCTAGAAAAAGTGTTATTAAAAAGTCATAGGGAAGAAAAAATATATTACAATACTTTGCATATTTATTGAAAAAATCTGGGTATGAGCAGACCTGTTCTGTTCAAACCCATGTTGTTTTTAGGAGCAACTTAAGAGCGTGATGATGCACTGCCTATAGGAACATGCTCTCCTTTCCAAATGAGGAAAGCATCTCCTAGGTATCGCAGAAGGCGGTGCAAGAATGGATAGAAAGCTGTGCAAAGAAAGCCCTTGACCGGATCATCATCTCAGGCTCACTGGAGCTCGGGCATGAGAGCAATGCTGGTGTGCATTGATTACTACTTCTTATTGTTACTGATTGAGCATTACACTGACAGGCTCTGGTCTGTGCTCCACGTGACCTAACCCACTTAACATGCACGAAATAGTACATGCAAAGCACTTAGAACAGAATGATGCAGAAAGCATGTTGCTCCTCACTGTTTCTCAGGTTGTCTTTGCAGTAACCGTGTAAAATAGGAAAATGCAGACACGCAGTGGCAGGGCTGAGCTGCAAACCATGGCATCGCAATGATGATACCCTCGTACATGCATGACAACCAGCATGGCAGGGAGAAGGTGGAAAGGCACCCCGCTCCCCAGAGGGGTTTGTTGGTGCCCCATCAGACATGACAGACAGGCTGACGTTGGGGGAGGGAGGGAATGAAACATGAACAATCAGCTGCCTGGTGTAGCTCACAGGCTGTGCTGCCAGTCTGCAGCCCAACATGGGTTCCAAGAGCTGGTTTCCTACTCACAGCCACTACCAGGGCCATTTTAAAGGTTCCTGCTCTTCCCCGAATTTCCGGACACCCTCTTCAGGGGAGGAGCCTGAAGTCAGTGTTTAACATGCACTGTGGGGTGCCTGTGGTACTGAGTTTGGGAGGAATCAAGCCTGGGGGGAGGGCCCCCACCCAGGAAGCCAGGCTGAGGTCATTCAGCATGCCCCATGTGACCCTGGAGGCAAAGGTATCTGAACTGCCCACGCCAACATTTTGGATATCTCATTTAAAAGTGAATACTATCACATTCTTCTCTCCCATCTGTGGAAATCTGCCATCTAAAACAATAGTTTCTATACTTGGATTTCTTGGACCAGACAGTTTCAAAAAAGTAATCTGGGGAATGACCTAGAGCCACCTAATTTCATTTTGCCACATAAGAACATTTATTAAGTCAACCATAATAACTTTTGTTTTCTTTTATACACATTTCACCTCCTCCACCCCTCCCCCCCAAAAAAAAGATAGTCTTATAAATTGGGTGAATTTTGCTTTATGGGAAACTCATTACATCTTCATAGCTGACCAGTCCCTGTCTCTGGGCCACCGTTTAGAAATCGTTGGTCTTAGGCAGTGGCTCCTAGTCCCTCAACTCATCATTTATCTGATTCTGAACAGGCAACTATTGTATGCCAGGTCCCGGGCTGGGCACTGGGGAGAGGATGGCAAGTGTGGCTGTCATTGTTCTCCATGCCCCGAGCGTACAGCCAGTCACCCCAAGTGGAGTGAGTGCTGTGAAAGGGCACGTAAAGGACTCCAAGGCAGCATGAAGGAGGATGGGCAGCAATCCCAGTCTATCTCCACGAGGAGGAGCATACAACAAAGGATGTTTAGTTTTGGGGGGGAAGCATAATGGGAACGATATTCTGGACAAGGAGGCAACATGAGGGAGTTAGAGTGAGGAAGGGGAGAGAGCAGGTGCTTTCTGGAGACTGCAGTGGTCGGGGCGAATGGGGCCATGAAGCCAGGGGTAACCCTATTGGGCCACATTAAGAAGTCTGACTTAAACACGGTGAGGCCCATGGGATGCTATTAGGCGAGGCAATGATACCACCGGGTTTTTATTTTAGAAAGGATACTTTGGGAGGTGGTGCCTTTGGCTCGGGGGCTCTAGGCAGCTGCCACTTCTCTATTTCACGAAGGCCACATGGGTAGCGTGTTAAGCAATTGCATCTTTCCTTCCCAGTCCCCTCTCCATACCTGATCAGTGTACCTATTCAAAACCTTCCCAGAAATCCAAATGTGATTCAAATGTAAGTTCTAGAACTTGATTCTGCCAAAGCACTCTGCCTCCAACAAGCACTCAAGGTTTCTATGTCTGCCTTGTGTTGGTCTTTCTCTCACCCGACTTTTCTCTGCGGCTGACCTCTCATGCAACTTTTTCTGTTTTCTTGATGCACGCTGCCTCCGCCTCCCACAAACTCCACTGCTGTGGCCTCCACAGCCAGAAAGCGTGGTGTTGACTCTGCAGGTAAAGTCCTCGTCTGCTCGTCCCCATTGCTCTGTCTAAAGCCAGCGAGTTGGGTCAATGTAATGCTTTCTCCAGAACTTCCTCTCCTTCACTGTCATGTCCACCATAATGGTCTTTAGATGATTGTCTCTGCCATCGTCTTTAATCGTCCTTCGGTTGTAGTAGTTCAGGGGAGAAAAGTGACCCATCTTGGCAAATTCGGATCCCGATCTTCCCTTCAAGGCAGTTCACAAAGTGCCCCAGAGATCCTGGTGTTTCAGAATGTCATCGAGGCCCATGAAATGACATCTGTCCTTATGCTGTCTGACCTAATATTTTAGTAACATAGGAAAGCTTGTGTATCAAAGATAAAATTTGTGTTTGGAGCTAAGGAGAGGATATTTAAAACATGTCTATACACTTTCTCTCCTGGGTTTGGGTTCAGTGTTTCTTAAGACTCAGAAAGGATTATAAATTCCTTGAAAAATAGTAAGTAATTTAGAATATTTGCTGAGAAACTATAGCAAAATGTATAAATAAGAGTTTGGGGTTGGTTTCTCAATTGGCTAATGATGTAAATCCTCAAGGGAGCCAATGAAGACTCCCTGTCATGGGCCTTAGTTTAATTAGGACCAGGTATTTGATGAATGTGGCAAAACTTTGCCACTATTTTTTTTCTTTTAGCATCCTAACCTCAATATCTAAATAGATAATATTCGAGTGCCATGTGCCCCTGACTTAATAAATACTCTTAAGCATTTGCTCCCAGAGTTAACCAATAGAGGTTGAGTGTTTGCTGCATGCTGGGCAGTTGGCTAGTTGTTTTCCCATTAAACCATTAACTGTGTGTCCCTCACACTGTGCTATGGGGTCGGTGCTACTGTAACGCTTTCCAGTTCAGGGAACCAGACGCCCCTGCCGGGATTGAAGGCCTGTCTTCTGACTCCAAGCTCAGCCTTCTATCTAAAAACGTAAGTGTTGGCTCCTGGGACCAACACTTATGTTTCATTCACTTGGCTCAGCTTGGCTCTAGAATCTGTTGCTAAGTGGCTAGCTGGCCCCTTAGTTGCAAACTGCCAACCTATAATTTTCTGCCATTCTTTAAAAATGTCTTGTTTTATGGGAAACGTAACTGCATGTGAGTTGGAATGAGATGAAGTTTCGTGATGCAGTTGCACAAATTTTTATGTCTCCTAGCATAAAATCAGGAGCGATTATGGAAACATAGTTTGGTCACATGCTTGTATCTAGAATTTGTGCCAGTTGCTAAGCATCTAGGCATCTAGTAACTGTCTGAGACCCAGGCAGCCGTGCCCAGCCTCACTGGCTCTCAGTGCCACTTAGTAGGTGTCCACCCCATGCCTGGTACTGTACTTGGCACGTTATTGCTACTCCTACGTTACCCGCAATGGTCACAATGACCATACAAAGTATGTTATTCCCAGTGTGTGGGTGGGGAAACTGAGTGGCCACATCTGGCTCAGAAAGTCTGATCCCGTTTTCTAAATTTCAGTGTATTCCAGATTCTTTTGTAACTGACCATGAACTTGACATTAATTGATTCAATCCAACTGCTTTGAATCCTTGATAACTTCCACTGGTCCTATTTTTCTGATTAAAAAACACCCTATATGTCTTCATTACGCAAGCACTTCTGCCAACATTGGTACACCACTTAAAAACAATATGTCTGGGGTTGAAATAAAACCATTTGCAACATGACCCTGTATTTGGACGTTTTCTCAGGAGTTGAAAGAGGATAGAAATGGCTGACCTCGTGTTCGCGTCGCTCAAATCTCTGCTGCCTCTGTTTCAAGAGGAGCTTCAAAGTGGGAATATGTGCTCAGAGTGTGAAACAGGTTAAAGAAAATGAATCGTGTTCACGGGGGGCTGTTCCCCTTGTTCTGGGTTCCGGCACATGCTGATTCTTCTGCTTGACTTGCAGGTCGTCCAGTATGAGATCGGGATTATTTTCTGGGCCGTCCTGGGACTGCTCTTTGTCATCCTCATGCCGCTGGTGGGGCTCTGCTTCGGTCTGTGCCGCTGCTTCAACAAGTGCGGCGGAGAAATGCACCAGCGACAGAGGACGGACGGGCTCTTCCGGAGGAAATGCTACGCCCTCGCCCTCCTGGTCCTCTGTGTGCTTATGAGGCGAGTAGAATCTCTGGTAGCAGCTGCCTGGGTTTTGGGTAGAGGAGGACTGTCTCGTGTTTTACCTGTTAAGCCCGTGAGTTAGTTTAAAATGAAACGACAACAACAAAACCCTCCAAAAACAGAAGAGAGAAAACAAAAATGTTTGTCCAGGATGGCTCAGAAAGATGTCACTGTGACCAGCAGCTAGCCTTGTCATCAAGCTGCCCTAACCTACGTGCTCAGCCAGCCCTTCCATGTTTCTTCACTTTGAAGACATTCTGGTGAACCTTAGACTGCAGGAAGCATTTACCTCCTAGAAAGGTGGCTCCCCCCGCCCCACACACCCTGTTCTCTTAAAACAACATTTTTATTGATTTCAGAGAGGAAGAGTGGAGGAGAGAGAGAGAGAGAAACATCAATGATGAGAGAGAATCATGGATTGGCTGCCTCCTGCCCTGCACGCTTCCTACTGGGAATTGAGCCCATAACCCAGGCATGTGCCCTGACTGGGAATCGAACTGTGACCTCCTGGTTCTTAGGTCCATGCTCAGCCACTGAGCCATCTCCCTTCTCTTAAATAGCTATTGGGGACAGGCAGCCTGCAGGACAGCAGAGGAAGTATTTGCTAGTTGATTTGTATGTCCAAGGAGATCTTAAAGGATGGGCACGGTGCCCGAGTTTTGCAATTGGAGAATATTGGAGAATGGAATGAATTTTCTAACACTATATCTAGTTTCTTGAATTTGCAATTAAGCCGCTCCCCTCTCTTGAAGTCTGGAGCACACGTCCCAATTTAGGATGTTTTTTTCTGTGGCTTGTACTGCTGAAAGTTTTCAAACTGACTAGCAGATCTGAAGTATCCTGCTTTTATTTTAGGATGGTGACATTTTGTTAAGAGCTTAAATCAGATTCCTCAGCTGAGGAATGTGCTCTATGACACTGGCCCCTGCCTTCCCTGGTTGTGATATTCTTCATCTTTCCACATTTCCTCATTCATTCAACCAGCCTGCCAGCCACAGAAATGAAGGACAATCAAACATCTCGAACAATTCGGTTCTCGACCAAGTTGTTCACAGAAAAAATGTCTTGGTTGTCAACCAAAACTTCAGCTTTCAACCTGACAACCCCTTCATGTTTGTTTAAAAACAAAGGAGGGAATTTTTTTTTTTTTTTTGCTAATCCATGATTAGCACAATTTTAAAACATAAAGAGGCCATCAAGAGTGCGAATGTTGCTAAGGGTGTGAAAGTGCTCACAAAACAATAATCCCAGGCAATTGAATAGGTAGAAAAACTGTTGTTGATTGAATAAAAGAACAGCCGTTAGCAGATGATAGTGTGATAGTATTTTGGAGACAGTGATATATGAAAAATTCAGTTAAGGCTAGTAGGGGGTGGTTCAATAAATTTCAGAAAAGAAGTATATATTTATAGCTTAAACAGTACATTAGTCATGTACTGTATATAAGAAAGGTTAAAACAGGGAGTCATTTGGGGGTCTGGAAAGGATTAATTCAATTTACATTATTTCTAATGGGGGGAAGAAATGATTCAGAGTTCAAACAAATCGCTTCTTGAACAGCCTTCTGGGACTAATTAAGTTTGAGAAACGAGATTCCAAGGAGCCCCAATTACTTGAGGCTACGTGACATTTTAAAAACTTTTATCTCACAGCACACATTGAATTTATATATGAATTATAAATAGAAAAGTAGTATTTGAGATAGGTTTGTTTAATAAAGTACAGACTGGAAGTTTAAATTTCTTTACCTTGAATGATTAAATCTAGAAAAAGCTATTTTGATGTCTTCCGTTTAAAAACCCCTATTCGTTTGCAAGTCTCTTCAACACCATGAGTTGAATAATAGCTATGTGTTCACCATAAGTAATCAAAGTTATCCCAGAAGTGCGGAGACCAGGGGAACACACAGCTTTCTGCATTGTGATTAGGTAGGAAGGAGAGGAAAGTATGTTCCAACAGCAGAAGATGAGATAAGAGGGAAGGCAGGTAAACAAAAGCAGGAGGCAGAAAAGGACAGAGAAGCAGCTGTTAGCCGCAGGCCTACATGGCCTCAGCAGAGACGGGTACTGCTGATAATTGATCTTTATATGTGATTTTTTTTAAAAATTCAGAAACCCCAGCATGGTCGTTCACTTGCCTTTTATCAAGTTCAATTCTATTTGTGTCTCTATAGGAAGTGTCACAATTAAAAATAGAGTTGGTGTGTAAATTAGTCTTGAGTGCTCTAATTTTTCATTCACCCTTTTTTTTATTAAAAAAATTAGGTATTTTTTTTCTTTTTTAATTGAGAAATGGATAGGTGTCAAGGAGAAGGCACCCCTAGTAATATGGACTATATGTGGTGAGCTTCTCCCTGTGTGTGGGTTTTCACAAAGGCAGCTGCGCATCTATAATTCCACACACACCGACATGTGTTTACGTCAGTCTGTGTGACCACCAGCCAGAGATGGAATTTCCACCTCTCGCTGCAAACTGTTTAAGCAGATGTGCCTCGCAGCGGACAAAGCCAAGTTTCCGCTTCTTTCTTTCCCTTGTACTTGTCGCCACTGCATTTTTCCGAATTTCAAGAAAGGTTATAGACAACCAAAAGGAGCACCGAGGCCTGTATTTCTCCAGCACATGTCTAGGTTTCTGAGTGTGGTAAGTCAGCTCTTGCCAATTACCCTGGTGAAAATGGAATCCCGGTCACTTTTCAGGAAGATGGCCATTTTCCAAAGTTCATTTTTCATATTTACTTTTAAGTGTATATGTGACAAAATCGGTCTGTCCATTACAAAATACAGAAGATATAATGCTAATTTGCCATAAAAGTAATATGTTTATCTTCTGTTAAACATTTCAAGAGATTTTATTGTACTGCATAAAAAAGTACATGTTTTGATAGCTTTTGTGTTTAGATAGAAGTTTCAAATTTGAGATTACAAATGGAAACCAGTTGTTTTTTCTGGTATTTAAAGTTTCTTGTTTCTTTGTATAGTTGCTAATATTTAAAATGGGAGATTTTTACATGAGAATGCAGATTTCCAGATTTGGGGGAAGATCTGGCAGTACTGGTCTGCCATCTTGGGGGCACCTGCTAGGGCCGCAGGGCATCTGCCCCACCCCCACCTTCCACCTTTAGCTCCCATAGGTCTCTGCCACACTCCTTGCCTTCCCGCTTCCTGCCTGCCCAGGTAGGCATCTGAATTTTCCATGCTTAATTTACAAATAAAATTTACAATGTGGCATGGGTCTAAAAATCAGCTTTGACAGTTGCTGAATTCTATTCCAGAATTCTGTTTAGTACAGTTTTTAAAAAATGACCAATGCTTTCATTTTAATTGGACCCATAATTGATCAGCAGAAATGTGGGTCTTTTGAAATACTGCGTGCTGCATTAAAATTCAGTGTCATATTGCAACTCATTTTACTGATTGATGATCTTGTAAGTAAAGGCGTTTATTCAATAAAGGATCAAAGACAGTTTCTGACTTGGACACTCCAGACCTATGGCTAATCTTCTAAATGGACCAAATGAAACAAAGTCCAGTCTCTAAAAGCACCTTCACAGAGAACCCACCACAGGTCAGAGGCCCCCGTGTTATGCAAAATTGACAAAGAAGCAGTTTTCATCTCTTTTTAGAGATATTAAGCACAGGTAAAAATAAAGACAAAATAGAGTATGAAGTGAGAAACAGACCATCAGAATTTCAGGAGAGCCCTCTGGGAGTTCCAGGTTCCGTGGGGGTGGGGAGCCAGTGAAAGCCAAGAGGACTTGGACTTGCTGTTGTTTCTCAAGTCCACTTTGACTTCCTCTATGGCACGATGGGTCTGGAGCATGATGAATGACAAATAATTTGGACATGCTGGGGAGAGACAGCAAGGGCCCCAGTCGGAAACCATGTCGTGGGCAGGTGTATGTAGGTGACGACCCTGACTTGTCATGGATGCTTGGAATTTGGCATGATAAATAAAGCTCCAAATACATTGTTATGACTCAACTTGTTTTCCCCTTCTGACCACGCTGCTCCAAAGTCATTATTTTGGGTCATTTGACTTTATTTGGCATGAGTGCACCACTTAACTATTATTGCTATGGTATGAAGTAGGCCTCATAAATACCAATGCAGACTTGAGATTGACAGCAATGGATTATAAGGTGGTCATTCCAAATGGCACCAAAGATGATAGATAGATAGATAGATAGATAGATAGATAGATAGATGATAGATAGATAGATGGATTACCATCAGCACGAACCCACACTTAAAAATAAAATTCATAGACATCCAGTACCCCTCTCCCCATGGCTTGACAAGCACTTCTCTAGTTTTCAATTTTGTGATACCAACGGAAGCTCACAGGAGAGTGGCTTTCTCTAGCTCACACAGTACGAGTTATGGGTAATAATAGTGGCAAAATCTTGTGTTTCTACTCTAGTACACATTCCACTGGGACTCGGTAAACCTGAGAAATATTGTTGAATATTGTGCATTACAGACTTTTTTTTTGGAATAGTTTGGGAAACTAATGTGATACTGCTATGGGGAAAAGTTTTAAGTGATACTGCTATGGGGAAATGTTTTAAGTGATACTGCTATGGGGAAATGTTTTAAGTGAGACCGATGATGAACGGATGCTCCTTGGAATGAATGATGACTATAAACTGGGTGAATGACTGTCTCCATGTTCCCAAGACTGAGAGGTCCCCTGGGGACACGGAACTTTTGATGCAAACACAGACACCTGGCCTCCCTACCTGTGAATATATGAATGCATAAAGCCGGAGACATTGCTTTTGGTGCAGACTCAGGGTACTGATATTCTGCATCAGGATTTTCTCTCCGAAGTTTGTCCATTATTTGCAAAACTTTGTTCTATCAAGACTTTGTTCTATCCTTACCTTCTATTTTGAATGGTTACGAACTTAACAGTTTTTTTAAAACTATATTTTATTGATTTTTTACAGAGAGGAAGGGAGAGGGATAGAGAGTTAGAAACATCAATCAGCTGCCTCCTGCACACTCCCCACTGGGGATGTGCCCATAACCAAGGTACATGCCCTTGACCGGAATCGAACCTGGGACCCTTGAGTCCGCATGCCGATGCTCTATCCACTGAGCCAAACTGGTTAGGGCAAACTTAACAGTTTTGTTACTGACTTCTGTAGGTAAATCGGTCTGTTGTTATGTTCATATAATTCTTTACTGCCACCTAGTGGCTACGTTTAGCAAAGCCTTGGTAATTAGCCATTTTTAAATGTGACATTTTCATGTTCTAACTAAGGCTTTGACATAAAAACAAACTGATTGGTCAAGTTAATTTAAGTCAGGAGATTATTAGTAACTAGTCAACATTAAAAGCCCCCAGAATGATTAAATGTAGACCTTTTTTGGCTTGAAAAATGTGTTGTATTTTCAGGTAGAGGAGCCTTTCAGATACTGTTTTTGAAAGTCTTTATTGAAGTATGTTTTCCACCATGAAAAGAGTCCCTGGCATAAATACATATTCATGAGTTTTTATGAAGTGGACACACCAATTACATCATTATCTACCTCTCCCCAAATATAACCACGACTTTAAGCAGCATCACCCTGCATGGTTCCGTGCTTTACGTAAAATGGGATGGTACAGCATGTACATTATTGTTCACAGCTTCCATACAGCATTTTACGGCTAAAGTGACTCATGTTTCTTTTCAACCCAGACAATACAAAAACTAACAGAGATAATTAGAGAAACCACACTGATAGAAAGCCCAAAGCAGTCTTATCATTTTGGTATTTTGCTTGATAGTCTTCTTTGGGGGAGCAGAGGTGTGTGTGTGTGAGAGTGTGTGTGTGTGTGTGTGTGTGCGCTGCACCGGAGGGTGTGTACCTGCAATCACATCTGTATGGAATGTGACTATTGCACACGCTACTGCCTGTACCCTTTGTCAGTTACTGTTTCCCTCACAGTGTATCATGAACATTGTCCCATTTATTCGATTCACTATTTACCAGAACAGTGCATTTTACGTGGCTCTGTGTCTTCCCTGAGCAGACAGGGTCCTGCTCTGCGGCCCACGTGGTGGTGGTGGTGGTGGTGGTGGTGGTGGGTGCATCATGGGATCATGGCGGGAGGCTGCAGCAGTGGAGGGAGGGGTTGGGTGGGGAGCAGGGTCCTGTCCCTCTGGGGCCCTGCTCAGGGCCCTGCCCCTCCCTGTCAGCATGCTGCCTGAACCTGGCCATCCGCCGAGGGCGGGCACCCGGGAAACGCTCTTCCTTCTCCCGTGCTTTCCCCGCAGCATTGGTATCATCTATGGTTTCATGGCAAACCACTACCTCAGGACTCACATCAGAAAGGCCCGGACACTGGCCGAAAGCAATTTCAGAGACCTGAGGACTCTCCAGAATGTGACTGTACCGGTAAGAGCCCGTCTGTGTATCCCGCCGTGCGTAGCGTTTGGGGCCTTTCGGAGTTCCTGTGTCTATTTGAAATCTCATTCAGACCTTCAGGAAACCCATGCATCAATGTAGACAGATGTCATCTTTTAATGTTGTAGATGAAGAAATAAACGCCCAGCACGTGATGTCTAAAACAGTTCAAAAGCATGACTTCAAAATTGATGTCATTTTATTTTATTAAGGTAACATAAAATATAGTACACATCATAAAAGTGCTTAACCATTCTAAGGGTCTCATGACTTTTTTTTTTTTATAGAAAAATATCTTTGGGTACCATTATCCTTCACTTTTTGGCAGTGTAGTTAACTCTCTACTGTTTTGCATGAAGTTACCTTTGTCATGAAACCTTTGTTCTTTATAAACATCCACTTGCTAATATCTATGTAGATTGGGGAGTGGACCCACATGTGCACCTGCACACACACACACACACACACACACACACACACGTTGTCTTTGGGGACCGGGATCATGATGCCCAAAGGCACCTTTTTTCTATGTCCCAGTAACACATGGTTGACTTGCCTATTCAGAATATTGATTTACAAAATGTCTGAGCAGACATTAGCTCTCAAATACGTCGCTGAGCTCCGGGTCCCAGCTGGAGAGAAGCGTGCACACATTGGATTTGGTCATGGGAGCCCGCAGAACCCACTGTGTCCTCACACAGCAGGTGTTCTTCGCCTCTAGTGCAGCCTGAAAAGTACTCACGTTAAATACTGTATCAGTTTTTAAATATGTGGTTGGACCTAAAAGGCATTTTTAAATATGGAGATTAGAGAAGCTAATTTTATCCATCACTTGACAGCATTACACAGAGGCAAGTGTTTCATTTCCCCAATCTGTGAATAAAAATTCATAACATTTTCACCTGTCACTCTAAAGACTACAAAGTGAACCCCTTTCCCCCCTAAAATGTTGGCAAAATTAAATACGTAGCAGTCGTGGCTGGTGCACGTTGGGGTTGCTTTCAGAAACTTGGGAGAGTAGTGAATTGTTATGACTTTTAGGGAAGTGTGTCTACTTCAAAAAACATGAAGAGCTTTAAAGAAGGCTTTAAAAAACAGAGCAGAAAATGTATAGTCATTTTGCAGAGGAAAACATGCTTGGCCCCAAACAGTGAGGTATTTACCCTTGCTCTAGCAGCTGGAGGAATGAAAAGTTAAAAACTGACACATCTGCCCTAACGGGTTTGGCTCAGTGGATAGAGCGTCGGCCTGCAGACTGAAGGGTCCCAGGTTCGATTCCCGTCAAGGGCATGTACCTTGGTTGCGGGCACATCCCCAGTAGTGGGTGTGCAGGAGGCAGCTGATCAATGTTTCTCTCTCACTGATGTTTCTCTCTATCCCTCTCTCTTCCTCTCTGTAAAAAATCAATAAAATATATTAAAAAAAACCCTGACATATTTTCACCGAGGAGGTTGGCGGCAGTTACTTAACACAGCAGCATAGGGTGAGGGTGTGGGTGAGGGTTGGGGGGGAGACCGCCAGGACACCAAGATAGAGCAAGCAGCGCTCACGGGCAGCTCAGGACCAGCCCTGGATACAGGGGCCCTGGTGTGGCAGGTGCCCAGTGGCCCCAGATTCTCTCCCGTCCCTCCCTTCCAGAGGCGGGACTGTTCACACCCGTCGAACCCGGGCTGCCTCTGAGACTTGCTGTGACCAAAAGAACTCAGCAGACAGACAGATGTGACCTTGTGCTAGTGTCAGGCTTACGCTTCCCGCAGCCCCGAGCCTCCAGCCCCGTTCTCTCACTGCCCGGACCACAGTGAAAACACCCAGGCTGAACGCTGGAGAAATGAGAGGCCACGTGGAGGGAGTAGCCCTTGTGTCCCAGCCATGCGGTCCCGGCCCGACCAGCCACAGAGCCACTGCCCAGCATCCTGAGAACTAAGGAATCATGTTTCTTTCTTTCTTTCCTTCTTTCCCTCTTTCTTTCTTTCTTCCTTCCTCCCTTCCTTCCTTCCTTCCTTCCTTCCTTCCTTCCTTTCTTTCTTTCTTTCTTTCTTTCTTTCTTTCTTTCTTTCTTTCTTTCTTTCTTTATTTCTTTCTTTCCTTCTTTCTTTCTTTCTTTCCCCATTTCTTTCTTCCTTTTTAATTTAATATATTTTATTGATTTTTTACAGAGAGAGGAAGGGAGAGGGATAGAGAGTTAGAAACATCAATGAGAGAGAAACATCGATCAGCTGCCTCCTGCACACCCCCTACTGGGGATGTGCCCGCAACCAAGATACATGCCCTTGACCGGAATCGAACCCGGGACCCTTCAGTCCTTAGGCCGATGCTCTATCCACTGAGCCAAACAGGTCAGGGCGGAATCATGTTTCTTACGCCAACATGCGTTGGAGTGTCGTTAACAAGTCTGGGTGTCAGAAAATGTAAACATCTCCAAGAGCCTACTTTCTTTTTAAAAATGTTCTGGTTTGAGGTAATTTTTAAAAATATTTTTGTTCATTTCAGAGAGGAAAGGAGAGGGAGAGAGAGATAGAAACATCCATGATGAGAGAGAATCATTGATTGGCTGCCTCCTGCATGCCCCACACTGGGGATGGAGCCCGAAACCTGGGCATGTGCCCTAACCGGGAATTGAACCTGTGACCTCCTAGTTCATAGGTTGATGCTCAACCACTGAGCCATACTGGCCAGATTCAGGATAATTTTTGTATGTTAGATCTCTTTTTTAAATTGTGGTTTTGGACTTTAGATGAGAAAGTTTCATGTTATTTTATTTATTTTTACTGAATTTATTGGGGTGGCCTTGGTTCATAAAAGTATAGAGGTTTCAGGTGTACAATTCTATAACACATCATCTGTATTTTATTTATTTTATTTTAGCAAATTAACTACGTGCTAGACCAGTACACCACCACAAAGAAAAAGGCCGTCTCAGATCTGGACAGTAAGTGACATTTCCAGTTGCCTCGAGTTTTTCGTGTGGGCTTGTTTTGGCTGGAGGTTGCGACGGCCACCTCCCATAAAACACAGACGCAGGTGGACTATGCTGTTTCTACAACTTCTGTGCGAAAGGAGGGGAAAACGGAAAAGTCCTTCCCTAGAGTTAGTGCCAGTTTGCAGTGTGCTGCTCAGGATGGAAACCGAGCCTTTAGGGTGAGAAGGCTGTTATTTCATTGTAGTCACAAGGGCCCATCCTCCATGCCCCACGGGTGGGAGGAGTGGGTCTCTGTCAGGTTCCTTGTTGAAGATAGAAACAGGCCCCGGAGAAGCTGGGGGCTTGG